CCCGACGTGCCCTCAAACTCCTGGAACGACCAGGAGGAAGTTGTTGAGGTACAGACAGATTTGCTGCCCGGGAATGGGATGGCTGTGACTCTCCTCTTAGGAAAAAGAAAAAAAAAAATCATTCAGTTGATAGAATTCCAGCTACAATACAGATATTTTTAGGGTTATTGTGAGGAGATATTCTGGTTGGGCTACAAAGGGGAGTGTGGCTGCAGGTGAGGAGCAGAGCGAGCTCTGAACCAGTTGGACGCTGGGAGGTTGGATTCAGCTCCAGCAGCCGAGCTCTGACTAATTTTGGATAAAACTGGGACGTTGTGAACTGCATCTGTTGGAAGGAACTGCCATTCCATAGGAAGTCAGATAATCCCAAATCTTGTGGTCATCCTGCAGCACTTCCAGGGCTGAGAAATTGAACTCTGGTGGTTGTTTTCCCTCTATCTGTGAGTCTTTGGAGCTCCTGAAACTGGGGGGTTCCTTACTCAGAGCAGGAAAGGAAAATTGCTGCCCTTGGAAGGTTGGAATGTGAGGATTTGTGGGAAGACAGGCAGAAATGGCAATAATAATATAATAATAATTATAATAATAATTTCTGGCTTTTATATGAAAAAGGTGTTTGCTTGACTTGGTGGTTTCTCTGAGGTTTTAATGTTATTTTTACGTGAAGAAGGGAGGTGTTACTGATTTCCTCAGGTGAAGTGTTATTTTCTAGGAGGTGAAATGTCACTTCACTTTTTTCCCCACAGAACTTCTGTAGCTGGAAGGGGCAGTTGTGTGACAGGGCAGGCCCAGCCCTGAAAAATGACACAGATTATTTGTCAGGGCTCGGTCCAGGCTTGGAAAAATTCAGGATATCAGGCACACCACCTGGTTTTGCAGGTTCTCACATAAACTTGCCCTGAGGGAGAAACTTGTGGAAAGCAGGGTGGGGATTATTAAAGCAAAGACATTTTGTGTGAAATGATCAGAAATTTGTATTGTTTATCATTTCAAGGAAAATAAAGATCATTCCATGGAAAGGGTTGTGTTAAACATTGGAACTGCCCAGGGAGGTTTGGAGTCCCCACCCCTGGAGGTGCCCAGAGAAGGACAGCATGTGGCACTCAGTGCTCTGGGCTGGGGGACAAGGTGGGGATGGGGCACAGGGTGGACTGGATGATCCTGGAGGACTTTTCCAACCTGGGTGATTCCATAATTCTGTGATTTGAACATCAGGTTTGAAGGTGAGAAGCTGCCGAGGCCCAGCCTGTCCTTGCTTTTGCTCTGGATCCCGGATAGAGCAGCAGGAATCAGCGTGGCTGGATCCACCACCTGCCTGCAAGGCTTTATTTCCCCGTTAATGATTCCCAAAGCTCTGCACGATCCCCAAAAACCCGACTTTCTCCGAGCACAAACGGCGTTGCTGTGGCCTTTTCCTTGCTGAACTCCGCATCATTTCCCCCCGAGAGCCGGCTCGGTGTGAGCCCCGGCCTCGGCTTTGAGTGGATGAATGTAGGTTAGGTGTGAATGGGAATGAAATACCGGATAAAAATAACGTTGGGCTCTTTGGAAATTGGGAAAGAGGGGAAAAAAAACCCCAAAAGCCTGCCCTGCTGCTCGTGCTCTGCCCAGCTCAGCACAGGAGGAGGCAGCTTTTCCTCCCTTTCACAGGGGTTTGGATGACTTTTCCCAGCCCTGTCTGGCTTCCTTGGTGTCCATATCCCTGTTTTTGCCCCAAATGTGCTGTTTTCCCTCTCCAGAGTGCCTCTGGAACAGTAACAAGAAGGAACCAGGGAAAGGGTTTTGCATCCAGTGCCCTTGGGGTGACACCTGGATCTCCAGGGAAATCTCTCTGGAGTTTGCTACTGAGCATGTTTAATCCTGATTTTTTTGGGGGGGAGGCTCGAGGGGACACCTCCTGCTCCTCCCAGAGCCGGGGAGCAGCGTTTGGCCGTGACTGCCTCTCCAGGCAAAGAGCACTTGCTCCTTTTTCAGTAATGAATCCATCCCGTCCTCGCAGGGACTCCGGGATATATAAACAATCGGTGGTGGATCACTCTGTTTTCTCTTCCGTGGCACTGCCTCTGTCTGGAGATGGGGATCGGGCAGCCCTGATGGGAGTTGGATTTTTAAGCACATTTTAAGTACATTTTAAATACATTTTAAGGGCAGATGTAGGAAAAAAAGTGGAAAGCAGAATATTTTCCCTGCAGGAATATCATCGTCATTCACTGAGGGGCGAGCGATGCTCCGGGTTGGTACAGTCAGTGGTACAAAAGCAGCTGGTTTTTTTTTCCTCCCCCAAATTCTCCCATCCTTAACTGTCCACGTGCTTTCAGAACACTTCAAATCCCCACCTGCTCCTGGCCTGGCATTTCAAATCTGCCTTAATTTGGCAGCAAATGGAGTCTCTCGCACTGGAGTCTAACAAAGATCTCCCCGTCCTCTTAATTTTCCTGAAGTCCCTCGGGCACAGTTGACCTTTTAATTCATTGCACACCTCAGACTTCACTTGCACTTGTGCCTTTTTGTTTGTGGTTCTGTCAGGAGGCCAGGAATTGCCTTTTCCTGGGATGCCCTTGCAGAATTCCACGTCCCAGACCTACAGATCTCACTGTTTAAACAGGACTGGGTGCAACACAGTGTACAAAGGGAAGGTGGCACAGAGGTCACAGGGTTTAGTTCTGGGAATGCTGTGAGTGTTTTATCCGTCATTTCTGTTAATTATGAGGATGAGCTGACTCTGAACGTGCTGAGTCTGCTTGGGCACTCCATGAACGACCATGGCATTGCAGGGACAGGACAAGGGGGAATGGGTTCAAGCTGAGAGGGGAAGTTTAGATGGATATTGGGAAGGAATTCTTCCCTGTGAGGGTGGTGAGGGGTTGGGATGGAATTCCCAGACAAGCTGTGGCTGCCCCTGGATCCCTGGGAGTGTCCAAGGCCAGGTTGGAGCAACCTGGGCTAGTGGGAGATGTCCCTGCCGTGGCACTGGGTGGGCTTTAAGGTCCCTCCAACCCAGACCATTCCTTGATTCCATGACTTCTTTGTGAGATCAGGAGTTATTCCCCACTTTTCAGAACTGGGCAACCGGCTCAGGGAATGAGGAAGGATTTTTATAGCAGGAAGCCTAAAAAGCAGGACAGCAGGTGATGGGGAGTAATCCCTGTGGGATCCCAGAGCTTGGCTGGGATCATTTTGGTCCTGCCGTGACCAGGGGATGCTGGAAGGGCTGAGCAGTTACTGGTTATACTGGTTCTGGGGAGGAAGTGGACTCCCAGGATCTGAGCAGATCCCTGGGATAAGATGCCAATCACCCTATGGGTCGGGGCAGCTTCCAGCAGCCCGGCCACACTTAGGGGTGTTGCACAGGATTTCATTCCCGCTTTTTCCTCTTCCCCAAATATCCAGGCCTCCTTCCTGGAAGGAGGAGCTGTGCATGTGCATCCCAGGGCTGGTGCTGTTCCTCTGGCATCTCCAGAGCAGGATTGTCTCCCTGCAGCTTGGCTGGCAGACAGGCAGAGCAGAGGAGAAGCTGGTTCCTTCTTCTGCCCAGCTCCTTGTGGGAGTGCAGCCGTGCAAAGCCAAGGAGGGAACTTACATAAAAGTTCTTGGCTGCTCCGGTTGGCGCAGCCTCAGATTTTATCTTGCATAACTTTGCTCGCTGGGGCCACCAGGAAAAGGCAAAGCTGTGGTTCCAAAGCTTCCCGTGGCTCTCTGGGTGGTGGGATGGGCAGCACTGCTGCTGGAGTCACGTCCCATCCCCTCTGAGCTCTCTGACCCCGCTTCTGGGGGCTTTTTATTCTTAGGGTGGCTTCTGAGGTGGGGGCCGTGTTTGAGGGCCTGGGGTGATGGGGAGTATGGAGGGGAATGGTTCCTGTTTCTCCATTCACTTCCTCATTTGACCTCCATGTGCTCTCTCCCTCCCTTTGGAGATGCCAGGACAACCACACTGTTTGTACAACTACTTACAAATTATTTTCCAGCATCTGATGGCAGCGAGTCCCAAACCCTCCCTCACCCCAAACCCTGGACCCACATTTCCATGCAGCCTCTTTTACCCCTTCCACCTGATCCTATTTGTGCAGCTTCCCTACCCTCTCCTGCCATCCTTACACTGATCCAGAGGATGGAAATAGGTGAAATCCTGCAAAATCCACATCCAGAGGGGCCGTTTCTTCCTTTTGGAGCAGAGGCTGAGCAAAACCCCTCGTCCAGCCTGTGTTGGTTCAGGGAGGTCTTGCTTAACCCTCTTTAATTGGCAGCTCCCTGGGGAAGGCTCTGTGTGTGCTCTGGAGCGTTCCAGGCACGTGGGACACAGGAGCACAACTTCCAAAGGGACGGATGAAAGCGGGACCACCTTATTGCAGGCACCGGCTCCCCTTTCATTAGATCAGCTCTTGTTCTCCTCGCTCCTGCAGCTCCTGTGATTGGAAAATTGATGTTCAGCTCTGAAGAATCCCTTGTGCAGCCTCATCCTCCTTTTCCCTCGGGGTTTTCAGGGTAAATTGCTGCTGCATTTGCATTTAAAAGGGTGGCACCGCTGTTCCTCTCTGTGTTATTTGTCTAGCTCTGTCCTGTTAAATTCAACACGCTTTGGCATACCATGGAATTACTGAGGTTGGAAAAGACCTGTAAAAGCAACTCCTGCTTTTTTGGGGGGTCATATTGGTCCTCCTGCCTGAATTGGTGGTTCCTGGTTATCCTGTTTTTGCTGATATTTGCGTGAAACCTGTTTTAGTGCAACATTATGATTGTCCCCTTGGAATTAGGACGTGGCTCTGGAGCGGGTGCAGGCAGCATTTAGTCTGGGTTGTTAGCCAAGCTGAGGGGTGAATTCATAGCTCTGGCAGCTCAGCTCTTCTTCTTTCAGGATTTGGGGAGCATAATTTCGGTGGAAATGCAGTGTCTGCTCCGGGCTGGGAAGCAAAGCCTTCCTGCCGCAGACACTACCATTCCTCTCTCCCGAAAAAAAAAAAGACGTGTTGCTGACTTCCTTGCCTTCTCTTCCCTTCCCTTTCCAGCTGTCCCATTCCCCCCCACGCAGCGGCTCACTCTGAAGGAGGTGTTTGAGGATGGGAAGCCGAGGCTCGACGTCCTCAAGAGCCACTTGGTGAAGGAAGGGCGGCTGGAGGAGGACGCGGCGCTCAAGATCATCAACGACGGCGCCGCCATCCTGAGGCACGAGAAGACCATGATCGAGGTGGAGGCCCCTATCACAGGTCAGAGAGCCGAATAAGGGCCTCCTGGGATAACACCAGCAGGGCTGACACTGGTTTTTAACTGTGTTCCTTCCACCCAGAGGGGTTTTTTTAACTCTCAGAAGAGAGGGTTGTGCTGGCGGAGGTCGAGGCCGCCCCGCTTGGCTCCTTGTTGCTGTCGTGACCTTTCTTTTCTTGGTGTGTAATTCCGTCCCTCTTTTGTGCTGTTCTTTCTCCCCCAGTGTGTGGTGACATCCACGGGCAGTTTTTTGACCTGATGAAGCTGTTTGAAGTGGGAGGATCACCCAATAACACCCGCTACCTCTTCCTGGGAGACTACGTGGACAGAGGCTACTTCAGTATAGAGGTGACAAAGAAATTTGAGCTTGCTGCTAAAGGAACCAAAAGCGTTGAGCCTCAGTTAAAATACAGCTCAGGATCAGTTAAATACAGCTTGGAATCAGATAAATTCAGCTCAGAATTAGTTAAATACAACTCAGAATCAGCTCAAACAGCAAAATCAAACCTCCTGTGCTGGATTTACCCTCCAGTCGAGCTCTGCATGGGGGGGAAAATCCCGTTGGTGACTCCCAGTGTGATTTAGGGCAGGAAAGTGATGTCCCAGTGTGGGGACTGAGCACTGGATCCTCCCCCAGTGGCAGTGGTGGGGTTAATGGCTGAACTCTGCAGTCTGGAGTGGAGTTTTAATGTCACTTGGAGCTGTCACTCAGGGAAACAAGAGGGAGAGCTGATTGTGTGTTGCAGGGAACGGGATCCCACCAGGCAAGTGGGAAGCAAATGCTGAAAAACTCGCAGGATTCAGCTGAGCAGGGAGAAGATAAGTGTCACACGACTGAGCCTCTGCTTCCCCCTGAAAGAATCAGCCTTGGATTGGGGTCAGGACAAAGGGGGAATTGCTGGGGTTGTGTTGGGAGCTTTGCAGCCCTGGGAGTTGTTGGTGTGAAGGACAAAGGAATCAATGTGTCCCTATGGAGACCTGGGATGGGACAGGATGGGGACAGCTATTAGCAAATACCACAAATCCCAAGGGGCTGCAGCCCTCTGGATTCACAGAGGCGGTGGAGAAGGGGTGGAAATGGGAGTGTTTATCCCAGTTGGAAGCAATGCAACGAAAGGGCTTTTGGGGAAACAGGGGCGTGAAAGCAGGGCTGGAATTAGCAGAGGAGGTGGCTTCTCTTGGAAGAGGGAAGGTTGCAGGAATAGCTGAGCCGTTGGGTCTGCAGAGGAGTCGTTCCCAGTTAAATCCTGGGGAGGAACTCTGCTGGATGAGTGCAAGTGGCTCTTTGAAGGCTTCTGCAGAGGATTTAGGGAGAGCACTGTGCTGGAGCAGCCCCTGGCTCCCTTCCAAGCCTCGGGAGTTCTGACAGGCAGCCAAGGTGTGACGAGGAGCCCTTTCCGGGGAAGCGGGTCCGGATGCTGGGAAGGTGGGGTTGGGCTGCTGGGATTTGTGGTGGTGCTGGCAGGAGGAGCCCCACAGCCCCCCAGGGAGGAAAGGAAAGGACATCCAACTGCTCCTTTCAATGGCTCAGCTTGTGCCGGTTGGGATTGCACTGGGAGTGTATTTACCTGGAAAAGAGATTATATTCCAGCCCAGGATTCTTCAGACATGGTGATCCATCCCTTTTCACTTCAAAACCCTTCCAAATGTTCTTTTAAAATCCCTCTCCTGCAAGTTGCCAGCCTTCCATACATCCCAAATCCTCCCTTGTATCTCTGCTTTGCTTGGGTGCCAGGGCTGGTTCTTTCTCCAGTCGTTAGCAAGTCACTGGGTTCATTTATAGCAACTTCCAACTTCTCCTGCCAGCCCTGAGAAGTGACATTTAGCTTGCAAACACGGGAGGTTAAAGCTTTAAATCCCAGAATAATTATAAATGGGTTTGTTGGGAGCATTCCTCCTGGTAACAGATGCAATAAAACATGATTCTGCTACCGGTGTTGGCCCTGTTCGCTTGCAGAACTCAGAATTAATCAAGTTTTTAATGTGGGGTTGAATTCCAAGTGAGACACAGATGGTGCTTTACAGCTCCTTGGGTTTGGGGATCAGCTGGAGTGACTCATGCAGAGCTTACCTTGCAGGTTCAGTGCTTAAACACCATCGTGGCTAAGCTGTGTGTACTGGGAACCGACTGGAAACCGGTTTATTTGGGGTCTGGAGGTTGTTTCCAGCTGGTTCCTGGGGATCTGTGCCCCAGATCAGCAAGATCTGAGAGTGTCAAACTGCTCATAGACTTTGTGCTTGCCACCCCCAGGCATGTGCAGGTTCTGTACCATCTCAGCCTCCAGGGTAAGCTCTTATTAGAGGCTTTAATCCAGATCTTGGGGCTGCTGTCATTCTGGATTGTCCTTCCAGCGCTCCAGATCGTTGGATAACATTCCCTGTGTGCGATGCCAGCTGATTTCCCCCTCAGCCTGACAGTGCAGACAGAGCACACACAGGGAGGGTGAGCACTCCTGCTTTCCAGCCCCTTCCCTTAGGCTTTCTGGGAAGCTGCCCTGGAACATTCCTGGTCCAAACACCCCGTTTCAGTCTGACTTACAGGTGGTGCTGCTCAGCTGGGGCGTTGTGGAGAGCCCTTTTCAAAAGGCAGAAAGCTTTGCTAAGCTTGTTTTTTGGCTCAAATTTCCTGTTTTGAACTCGAGCTTCACGTGACTGTGGCGTAAGCAGAGAAACGAGGCGTGGAGTTGGGGCGGGGGAGGGAAAGTCAGTGGGGGGGGGATAAAGTTGAATTTTTCGACTGTTTAATGGACAAATGGCTGCCTGCTCCACTGCATCCCGGCGGAACATCTGGAGCAAACAGCTGGTTTAGCTTTGCTGCTCTTACAAGTGGGGCTTTGGAAAGGGGGAAAAAAAAAAACCAACAAACCTGCCCCCACCCAGCCCCCAGCTGGTTTGGGTGGACTAAAATCTCGTTTGTCATTTCTTGGAGTCGGCCCTAGTACAGAGAGAAATCCGGGTGGCTTTTCCCCCACTGCTGCATTTGGCCAAGATAAGATCCACTGCCCGGTATGGAGATGGGTTCCTCTCCAGGTTCCACTTTGGGTGTCTTCCCAGAAACGCTTCGGGAAGCCTCGGGCTGATTAGTCCCCTTGGAAAATGGTTTTTCTGACTTTTTTTTTTTTTTTTATTTCTGACCTCCTCCTCCTTCCCTGTCTTGCAGTGCGTGCTGTATTTATGGAGTTTAAAGATAAACCACCCCAAAACCTTGTTCCTCCTTCGAGGGAACCACGAGTGCAGGCACCTCACAGAATATTTCACCTTCAAGCAGGAATGTAAGTACCAGCAGTGTGAGGAGGATTTAAATACTTTTAAAAATATGTTTTCAAATATATTTATTTAAAAAAAAAAAAAAGATGTTGGAAAGGTGTGGGCCTTAATTTTTGTGCCTCTGAACACAAAAATTAATATCAGAGCTGTATATATAGTGACAAGATTAATCAGATTACTATCAGACTAATAATCAGATTAATATCAGATTAACACCAGATCAAATTAATGTCCAGAGCTGTCAAAACCTGTTGCCTGTTTTCCTGCTTGCACAGCTCTTCTCTTTCAGCCCCTGCTCTAAAACAATACCCCAAAAAACCCCAAATGTAGAAGTCTTACAGGGCAACAAGTGTGTGTCAATGTGGCCTTTTGGTTGCAAAGAAGGGAGCGTGGCTGGAAGAAAGGGGAACACATCTCCCCTGATGAGCCACTCACATCCTCCCCTCCCTGACTGCCAGGCCCAGCAGCATATAATCACTGCCAGAAGTCTTTCAGCTCCGGATTGTGCAGCTGGGATCGGTGGTTCCAGTTGGGAAAGAGGGAAGGGTTTGTTCCTCCCTGTTTGCACTTTGGGAGAATCGTTTACCTTTAGGATTGTTTTAGTTACCCCTTGGGCTCTGGGTGCTGTGGGATGGGGGAAGGCTCAGGGGGGATGAGGTGATAACTAGCGGCTGTTTGCTCAGGAATGAGCTGGAAAACACCTCTCAGCTCCCTGCTGGATCCCGGAGCCATCAGGCAGGGCAGGGGAGCTCCTGCAGCTGAGCTCGGTTCCAGCTAGGCCACAGGATTCCCTTTCCTTTCCCCTTCCTTTATCATGCTTAAAAACCCTGTTGGTGTCTGTGAAATAAGGATATTTCTGATGCTGGAGGAGCCAAACTGCTTGGGAAAGGCCGTGGCATCTCTGTTTTAATGTGTGGAAAAAAAATCATCTTCCCCAAAAATCACCTTCCCCTCTGCCTGGATGAGGCATCACTGGAGGTTGTCATCACTTGTACTCAAACAAACGTTTACTAAGCTGGCATTTTCACTAATCCACAGGTGCAAAGTTGGAGTTGTGGGCCACAAATGCAGAGTTTCCATCTCCCCTTAGGAGCTGGGCTCCTGGAATTCATTTCTCAGCACATCTGAGCTGATCACAGCTTGATGTGATTCCTGTTTCCCAGGTCGAATCAAGTACTCGGAGCGAGTGTACGATGCGTGCATGGATACCTTTGACTGTCTTCCTCTTGCTGCCCTCCTAAACCAGCAATTCCTGTGTGTCCACGGAGGACTGTCTCCAGAAATCACGTGTCTAGATGACATTAGGAAAGTAAGTCATCTCCGTGGGGCCTTCCCATCGCCTCCAGTTCCAGCCTGGGGTGGGATTAATGGCTTGAGTCCTGCACGGCATTCCAAAGGAATGGAGGGGGGTGTGTGTGTGTGTCCTGCCACAGCTCCCACCAGCAGCCTCCTGATGTTGTGTCCGTTTTCCAGTTAGACAGGTTTAAGGAGCCTCCAGCCTTTGGTCCAATGTGTGACCTGCTCTGGTCCGATCCCTCTGAGGATTATGGCAACGAGAAAACGCTGGAGCATTTTGCCCACAACACTGTGCGGGGCTGCTCCTATTTCTACAGGTAGGAAGGGGCTTTGGAGGGCACTTTGTCTGCCCTAAATCAGGCCACCCTGTGGTGGTGCTTTGCAGCATACCTGAAATACTCCTCTCTTGGCTCCGATGCACAAATTATTGTTTGGTTTTATCCTTCTGTAATGTTGAGCTCTCTTTGGGTAACTTACTTCATGAAATTGTGGTCTGAGGCAGCAGAGATGCTCCTTTGGCTGGCAGGCTGCCCCATGAGTGGCTTTCAGTACCAGGATCTCTGGGAAATTATCTTCTCCTGCCTAAAAAGCAGCATTTGTGCTGACGGACCACTTGTAGGGAGGGTTTGACACCAGGGGTCTGTTTAACAGAACCCTTTGCAAGTAATTTTGGAGTGATCTACTGGCATTTTTGGGGGTGCTGGACAGAAACCAGGTGGTCCCTGAAACCAAGACCACACATTCTCTGTGCTCTCCTTTGCCTCCTGCTGAGTTACCCTTGCTTTTTGTTTTCCAGTTATCCTGCAGTGTGTGAATTTTTGCAGAACAATAGTTTGTTATCCGTAATCCGAGCTCACGAAGCCCAGGATGCTGGGTGAGTGCTGCAGCCCTGGGAGGAGTGGGCAGGTTTGGGCTTTTCCTTGGCGAGGTTTTAACCACCTGCCCTGTTTTCCAGGTACCGAATGTACAGGAAGAGCCAGACAACGGGCTTTCCCTCGCTAATCACAATCTTCTCTGCACCAAATTACTTAGATGTCTATAACAACAAGGGTAAGGGGCTCTTGGGGGGTGTCAGGGAATCCCTCTCCCACTCTGCCCTCTCAAATCTCAGGTTGGAAAAACCCTCCAAGGCCATGGAGTCCAACCTGTGACTGATCTCCACCAGCCCAGAGCACTGAGTGCCATGGCCAGGCCTTCCTTGGGCACCTCCAGGGATGGGGACTCCACCACCTGGACAACCCCTTCCAATGCCTGACAGCCCTTTCCATGAAGAAATTCCTCCTGATGTCCAACCTGACCCTCCCCTGGCACAGCCTGAGGCCATTCCCTCTCCTCCTCTCCCTTGTTCCCTGGGAGCAGAGCCCGACCTCCCCCTGGCTCCCCCCTCCTGTCAAAGAGTTTTAGTGAGAAATTAAGTCCCCCTTGAGCCTCCTTTTCTCCAGGCTGAGCCCCTCCAGCCCCTTCCCCAGCTCCCTTCCCTTCCCTGGACACGCTCCAGCCCCTCAATGTCCTTCCTGAATGGAGGGGCCCAGAACTGGACACAGCCCTCGGGGGGCCTCCCCAGTGCCCAGCAGGGAGGGACAATCCCCGCCCTGCCGCTGCCACCACAGTGGTTTTGATATAAAAATACACTATTTTTGATACAAAACCCCTCTGCTCCGGTTGCATTCTTGGGCATGAAATGAAAGAGAGCTTTGTGTGCTGAACTGAAGTGGTTGGTTCCCTGACTTAATGTGTTACTGTGGTAATTAGCTGTCGAGTCATAGAGCCTGGAATAAAGCTCTCATTCCCAGCCACGGGACAACGGAGCCCTTTTGTGGGATGCTGCCATCCAAGAGAAGCTGATAGTGTAGGCAAGCTTTCCACTTCCACCCTGCCTCTTAAATCATGAGGGGATTTTCCTCAGCTCTGGGGTTTTTTTACCCTCCTTTTGGATCTTGGCTCTGTGTTTTGCATCTTTTTTATTCAGAAATTCTTCCCTGTGAGGGTGGTGAGGCCCTGGCACAGGTTGCCCAGAGAAGCTGTGGCTGCCCCATCCCTGGGAGTGTCCAAGGCCAGGTTGGAGCAACCTGGACTAGTGGAAGCTGTCCCTGCCCAGTGCAACAAGATGAATTTTAAGGTCCCTTCCAACCCAAACCATTCCAACTCCTGAATTCCCGGTGCCCACGGACACGTGTTCTCTTGTCATTTTTTCTCCCCCAGCTGCTGTACTGAAATATGAAAACAACGTCATGAACATCAGGCAGTTCAACTGTTCCCCTCACCCCTACTGGCTTCCAAACTTCATGGACGTCTTCACATGGTCTTTGCCTTTCGTAGGGGAAAAGGGTAAGAGAGATTTGGATTTCTGTTCCGAGTTCCCAGTGACTGGTCACAGTTCCCTGAACCTTAGAAATGTGTCCCATGTGTGATGGGAGAGTTTTGCAGCTCATTGATAGCAGGTAGCACTGGAAAACAGTTCAAATTCAAGGAAATCTTCGTATTCCTGGTTTAAATTCTTGGAAAAACCGTTGTTTATGCTTGTTTTAAAGACCTTTTAGGTTGCTTCCCTCTTGCTCTTTCTGCATTGTTGACGGGGCTGATCTTGGGTTGTATAGCCCCACCTCGGAATCTGGAGACATTTCTCTTCCTCTGGGTTTGCAACAGAGAAATTAAAAACTCCTGTTGGCTCGTGGCCCACCAAAAAGGAAACATTCACTTCAATCAGAGGCTTATTTTGTTCTGAAGGGGGGCGAGGCAGCTTAAAATATGCCCAAGACTCTGCCTCAGCTTTCCAGCAAGAGGATTTTTTTTGACATCTCCCGATGACTTTAAATTCCACCCCGGTGTTGTGTGTTTGGAGTGTGGCTTCAAGCTCTGAACTGCCAACTGCCAAAGGGGTTTTGTTTTTTTTTTTTGGACTTTGAGGCACCAAAGGTCTAATTTCTGCCCCTCTCGACCCTTCAAATACAGCATTCCCAGAGCCAGGTGGAGGTCGGGATGGGGAGGGGGGACCTTGGGCGAGCTCAGGCTGTTCTGCAGGAATGTTGGCACCTCAGTCCCCGCGTCTGGTTCATCTGTGCTGTGCTTGGACTGCATCCACCTCCTTGGCAGAAGACGGAGCGTGTGTCGTCTGCTCTGGTACCGCTGCGAGGTACCAGCAGCTGCGGCTAAAAGTGTCTTTTAGGCTCCCACTTCCAGGGGAATAAATGACCTTGAAAACCATTCCCTGGCGCAGCTCGTCCTCCAGGATCCCTCCGTGCTCCAGGGTGTGCCCCAGGCCTCTCTGACCCCCCCTGTCTGTGCCTCTTGCAGTCACCGAGATGCTCGTTAACATCCTCAACATCTGCTCCGACGACGAGCTGATTTCGGACGGGGATGAGACGTTGGAAGGTAAAATATCACTGTGGGGACCTGCTGACAGCGGGGAGGGAAGGTGGGGAAGGTGTTTGATGCCTGAGCAGCACTTGATTTATAGCTGGATGCCCAGCTCTCCAGTTCCTTTTTGGCCAAACCTTGTGCAGTTCTGGGTAGGAAACGTTTATTTTATTTTTTTTTTTTCTCGTTTGCTCTTCAGTCACAGAGAAATTAAATGACATTCACTGCGACAGACACTTCTTGCCAGCTACTCTGGGAATGGTTTCCTGCTCCTTACACAGGCTGCTGGTTATTTTTTTTTCCCCCAGTTCAAAATTTTCTGCACCAAAATATCCACCCAGTCTTCTCATCTGTTGCAGTGAGCTCCTGTGTAAAGCGGCTTCTCACGTCACCCCTCCCCAAAAACAGAATGCCGTTTTTGGCCTGGATTTTAAGCTGTGCATGAAAGGGACGGATCAGTGGCTGAGCTGACGTGCAGTTTGGAATTTGGGGGGCCTCAGGATGTCGTGGGGGGGGCAGTGAGAAGTGGGGGGCCCTGAGCTGCTTCGATCCCAGCTGGAGACTCTTAACCCGCTTCTCCCATTGCATTTCGTTTTTGCTTTTTTTGGTTTGTTTGGTGTTTTTTTTTTTTTTTTTTTGGTTTTTTGTTTTTTCTTTCCTCCTTCCCATGAAAATTAAATTTGTTTCTTCTATCTCTGTCTTCATCTACTTGTTTCTTGGTGTCTCCTCTCCCTGAAGATCACTACATTTCAAGCTATCCGAAAGGTACCCAGCTAGAATTTGCTACGAGCTTAATTTTCACTGCCTGTGCCACCAGATCCTTGAAGTGGATTTCCAGAGCTGACTAGTCGGGCAGGCTCTTCATCCCCTTTCAGTTTTAACATAAGCTCCATGTGTTTTTTAACCCTTCTGCGTTCCTCCAGGAGCCTGAGGAACGGGGTCACGTTTCTACCTGATTCTGAATGCAGCCACGTAGTGCATGGCTGAGCCATGGTGCATGTTAGACCTGGGTTTGGCTTTCCTGTCCTCATGTGTACTGGGCCATGTGAGGAATCTCAGCTGAGAGGAGATGGATTTGTGTCCCCCCCCCCACCCTGTTTTACCTGGATTTTTTGGTTTGGTTTCAGTTCCCTCCATGCTTTTTCTCTCCCGTCGGGCCCGTGGAGCGGGAGGGGAGTTCACCTCTCCCCCCTTTGTGTTTGTGTGGGGTCCGAGTGGAGCTGCCAGGCCCTGGCCAGCCCTTCCCTGTGCTCCTTGGATGCCAAAGCTGATGCTTGCGTGGCACAGCAGTGCCCATCAGCCGTCAGACCCCTCCGTGCTCTGCCTTGCAAAACTGTGTCTACATGGCTGAGTCATTTGTGTTACATCCTGTGTAGTGTGAGCCAACCTGGTGAGCTTCCAACAGAGACCTCCCCAGATCCGTGTCCCTCGGTGGTTCTACTCTCTCTAGAGCTCTCGAGTCCGTGTGCCATCTCGCTGGTGTTGCCCTTCTCACTGCCATCCTGATGCCATCCTGATGCCATCCTCCAGCACCGTTCTCTCTCTGGTGTAGCTGTGACTCTGTAAACCATGATTTCTTTTCCTGGAGTCAGGCAGGTGCTTCATACTGGCATTCCCTGGGATAGCAGGAAGCCTCCAACGTGCTGCTCTGTGCTCTTTTCTCTCCCTTAGGCGGGACAACAGTCCGTAAGGAGATCATCAGGAATAAGATCAGAGCCATTGGGAAGATGGCACGTGTGTTCTCAGTTCTTCGGTAAGGATGGGTTTAATCTGGGGGCTGGGTGACAGGGGAACGTCAGTCAGTCAGGAACCTCACAAAACGCCCGGTATGAGCATTGCACTGACCTCTCTGAGCTGTTGTGTCGCTGTTCCCTGCAGGGAGGAGAGTGAGAGCGTGCTGACCCTCAAAGGCCTGACCCCCACAGGTACCCTGCCCCTGGGAGTGCTCTCGGGGGGCAGGCAGACCCTCCAGACCGGTGAGTGTCCCTGATCCCCCCACCCTGCTCTGCTCCACCTGCCCCAAACCCCCCTGCCCAGCCCCCACAGGCAGCCTGGAGGGTGCCAGGGGACCCCAGGGATGGCTCAGGCCCACGGGGAGGAAGGATCCCGAGCCAGGAAGGAGCAGAGGTGTAGGTGGGGATGTGGAGAGATGCCAAGACAGTCCCTGTGTACCCTGGAGGAAGGGACGCCACAGCACCCTGCCCAAAGCATGTGCATTGCTTAACTGTATGTTTTGCAAGGACTTTTTTATCCTTTATTTCCCTCCTGATGCTGCATGGTGCACATCCTCTGCCTCACCTCGCTGCTGCTGCTGCTGTGTGACAGCCTCTGTGTGAATGTGACAGTGACACACCTTGTTTGTTCTTCGTTAACTCCCCCCACCTCCCCCAAAACCGCCCCTGGGAAATTAGGAATCCCAAACACAGGAAGGCTTAGCCAAAGGAATGAGATTCTTCCAGGCCTGGATGTTTTATATTAAGACTCCTCTCGGGTTTTGATCTGGTTTGGGAGGTTTCTTTCCGCTTTGCTGCCTTCCCTCAGCAGCTCCTTGTTGGTGGAGGGCTGGGAGCAGGATCCAATCCGTGGGCTTCCCACTCACAGGGCAGGGAGGGACGTTGGCTGATGGTCAGGGAATGAGCTGTCCCAGTAACGTGTCCCCAGAGGGAATCCTGTAATCTAGTGTTTTAATCCTTTCCTGCCATCCTTTGAACGCTGGCATGTCCCCAGCTTCCCTCTTCCCATGGGCACCGGGGATTTCCTGCAGCTCACACAGGGACGAGGCCAGGGCTGCCTGGATTAAATAGTGCACGAGTAGGAAACGTGTAAATACTGCTGCCTGCTCACAGGGAGGGTGCAGCATCACTCCCAAACTCATGCATTTCTCTGCCCACAGAGGAGGATGGATTTTTTTTTCCCCTTTTTCTTTTTTTTTTTTATAGAAACCATCGTGGTCCTGTCGCCCCAGTTCTGGGAACAGAGCCTGAGTGGGAAGGTGGCTGTTGCAGCAGCTTTGTCTCTGTAATCTTACAGCACAGGGTGATGCTGTGATGTTCTCCAGCCCCTTCCCCTCTCGGGGGGTTCTCTGAGGGGTACCACGGACCTTCCCCCTCCCCCCAAAATAGGCATCTCCCCAGGACAGAACAAACAAGCTGGGCCTTTGCTCTGCCTTACCCGCCCTGCCCACTGCCTCTTCCTACGGCTGCAGGCTCCCCCTGCTTCCCTCAGCACCTCCCTGCTTCTCCTGCCCTTCTCACCCCCAGTTCCCTCCTACCCCCTTCTCCCACCCCTTTTTCCCCGTCCTGCCCTCTCTCCCACCCCTCCCCATTCTGCACATCCCTTCGCACTCCCAGCAGCCTCCTGGTGAACTTATGGGAGCTCCATCCACCCATGAGGAGAAAAGGGGGCTGCCCCCTTTAGGGATGCCTCTGCACCCCAAAAAAGGAGAAACAGGGCTGCAGGTAGCAGTGGGGGGAGGCCCTTCCCTCCCAAGCCTCCCCCCAGCTTTCCACAGCACAGCTTAGCAAAATCAACGGAATGAAGTCACCAAATCCGGGGCAAAGCTGTTCAGCCACAGCTCCATCCTTCCCCCGTGGCCTCCCAAGGACCGTGTGGTCTTTGTAGTGGGGCCAAAGTGGTGTTTTGAGGCTGAAAACCAGAGAATCTGTTCTAGGGAAGGGCCTTCTCCTCCCAGATGTTGAGTCAGGGCCTGCCAGAACTTGGCCCGTTGCTGCAGCAGATTTAGGAGAGGGGACCTTGCTCAGCTCGGTGGTGCCTCGTTGCTTGGTAACACTTCCAGGAGGTGGAGCTGAAGCCAAACTGGGTTTGAAGCATCGGCCTTATTTTTTCCTATAACTCAAGGCATTGGGAGTGGAGCAGCCCAGTAACTGCTGCTAGTCCTTCCCTGGAAAACAGGCTGTCCCTCTGCTCCCAAACATCCTCACATCCCCCAGGATCGCTTCCCTCACACAGCCGTGGAGGCAGGGTGTGAATTCCACATAATTTACCTCCTGGAAGCAGCCAGAGCCCCTACCTGGGAGCAGGGGGGTGAGATCCATGGCTTAGCCCAAGGTTATCCCTCATTCTTTCCGTGCTCCCTGGGGCACGCAGCAGGAAACCCCCTCTCTCTGCTTCTCTCTTCTTCCATCGGATCAGCCTGTGTGGGGAGGAAGGGAGACTCCCCCTGCACCCCAAGGGAGTCCCCTTCCACCCTCCTCTCCACCTGCTGTCACCTCTCTCCTCCCTGTCGCCCGTGGTTTGGCAGCACCGGGGCTGGGGGAGCGTGGGCTCTGCGTCGCAGCCATGATGTCGGATCACTCACTGTCACTCTGTTTTGTTTTTTTTTTATTTTCTTTTTTTTTTTTTTCCCTGTCTTCATTTTTGCATGCCACTGTTCTTCTGTATTGCAGCCACAGTAGAAGCGGTAGAGGCACGGGAAGGTATGGCTAGAACCCGGCGAGAGACCCCAAACCATCTCCGTGTGTGCGTGCGCTGACCCTAAAGAGCTTTATCAGCCCTACAGAAGCTTTTTACTCTTGCATCACCAGAAGTGGGGGAAGGACGAGGCCCTACTGGGGAGCAAAAAAACCAAAACAAACCCTCAGTGGTTTGGTTCGAGGCTGTTTGAGCCTCAGTGAGGGTGTTGCTCAGTGAAACCCCTTTCTTTGGAGGGTCGCCAGGGCGGTTTTGTGCTCTGGTGGTTGGGGTCCTGCAATCTGATCTCCTGGGGGACTCCAGGCTGCCAGCATGGCCAAAATCCTTAGGAAACAGAGGATTTTGTGGTGCTGATGTAACCCCTGCCTTCTGTGCTGAGGTGGAGAGCAGGTTTCTCCCTGTGGAGTGTAGAAATGGCAGATCCCCGAGGATTTTTTCCTTGATTCTGAATGGGGGCCACACAGCTCTGTGGAGACTTTGCTTACCAAGGGAAGTTGTTTGTAATGCAGCCAAGTCCTTGGAAAAGATTTGGCACAGCCCCCTTTTTCCTTAAATTACGTGTAACACAAAGAAGTTTCACATTTGGTCCAGATCATCACGGACGTGCTCGGCCTCGCAGTGATGGAACAGGGACGTGAAAGCCCTCAGGGGGGGATCCATCCCTCCCAAAACTGCCCGTGTGTCTCCTGGTCATGCAAGAGCTCTGCCTTTGTGATCCAAGGATTAGCTGTTCCCTCTCCTGGTGTTGCAGTGTGTGGTTTGTGTTGGAGTTCAGAGCCTTGTGGTGGTGTCTTTGTTCTGTCGGTTTGGTTTGGCTTTTTTTTTATTTTTAGTGTCATTATTTTTTAGTGTCGTGTTGTTCAGCTTGGAACTTTTCCTGAGATTTCACTCTTTGGGGACAGCGAGCACTTGTCTGGTTCTTCAGGTTCCTGCTGCTGGATTAAAAAAGGGCAGGTGGGATGTTGGGAAGGAATTCTTCCCCGTGAGGGTGGGGAGGGGCTGGGATGGAATTCCCAGAGGAGCTGTGGCTGCCCCATCCCTGGGAGCGTCCAAGGCCAGGTTGGAGCAACCTGGGCTAGTGGAAGGTGCCCCTGCCTGTGGAACTGGATGATTTTAAGGTCCCTCCTGACCCAAACCACTCCATAATTCCATGGAAAAGAGAAGCTCTGAGGGAGCGGAGCGAGTCGTTGCAGTTGAATCCCAAACTTCACTGCTGTGATTCCCGCCCGCACCACCAGCAAATTCCAAACCCACCAAATCCCAAAACCACCACCCCCAACCCCCCAAAAACATCCCCGTGGATCCCAAATCCAGCCAGGCGCTGCATCCAGACGGGCGCTCTCTGTCCCGCTGACTGTCCCGTTCGTGTCTGCCGTGTTGCTCAGAGGGCTCCTCGCCGCGAATCCCCCCGGGCCGGCACTAACACCCCCCTCCCCTTCCTGCTCCCTTGTTCCCGCAGCCATCCGCGGGTTCTCCCCGCAGCACAAGATCCGCAGCTTCGAGGAGGCGCGGGGGCTGGACCGGATCAACGAGCGGATGCCGCCGCGCAAGGATTCGCTGCACTCGGACGGGCCCGTGAACTTGGTAACCTCGAACTCTGCGGACAAGAACGGCACGGGGAAGAAGTCCCAGTAACGCTGCGAGCGCCCGAACCTGCACCGCTAAAGGATCCAAAACTTAATGAATTTTATTTATTTATTATCGGGGGTGGGCTGGGGGCGAGGGGGGGTTGAAACCAACGTCACCCGGAGGCACGTCCATAAGTCCAGTTCGCATCCGTTCTGTAAAGGAAGGGCGACCATTTTTGTAATTATTATTTTTTTTTTTTTTTTAATTTATGTTCAATATATATAAAAGGAGTCCATCTTTTTTTTTTTTTTTTTTTTAAATTTAGAAACCAATCCAACTGCTAGTGCATCCCGGGAATGTTGTGCTGTCCGGCTGCCCTCCCCGAGAGGCCAAACCTCTGTGGAGGGGCGAGGGATTAAAAGAAACGAAAAAAAAATCAGTCAAACCAGGCAACTTGGGTCGTTGGCTTTGGGACGATTCGGAGCTGGCCTGAGCTTTGCAAAGCAGGTCCTTCCCTTCAGGACAGGGTTGGGTTGGTTTTTCCTTTTCACACCTGTTTTCTTCTCAGATTTTCCTGTTGTTTTCAAGTCCTTGCCTACCTGCAGCTGCTGCTTTAGCAACCGGTTCCCTGGAAGGCACGTTGTTGATCCATCCTTATTCCAAGGTGACAGCCAGGATTAGCTCTGAAGGACTCCAGGGTGTTAAAACCAATCATGGCACCTTTTCCTTCAGGAATTCAGCTTTATTCCGGTGGAATCCCAAACAAAAATTAGGGGAGGGCAGGTGGGGGAAGCGCTGCCCCTTGTTGCGGCTTGTTCCAACTCGGAGCAGCCACTTTGCTGCCCGTGCAGCAGAATTCCCTTGGGAATCGCTCTGATTCAGAGCAGAGGAATTATCTCTGCTGTCTGGTGATCTGTGGGAAAGCTGCCAGGCCTGAATTTTAAAGGAAAAGGGGGTGATTTATAACCTGGGGAATAGCAGACCCCCTGTTGTCCCACTATCACATGCTGCTGAGCCCATGGCACATTGCCTGTTCCCGGCTCTGGAATGGGTCCCTGTGGTCAGTTTGGGGTGGGGCACCCTCAGTGTCACCTCCCTGTCCCCCCAGGGTGTGTTTTGGGGGGGTCTTCCACTCACTGTGGTTGACTTGGGGCATCACCCACTGTTAGCCAGTGGCTATTCCTCTGACTCCAAAGGAGCCATGGGCACCTCAGCCTTTTCCCAGCAGCTGGAAAAGAATTTGGGATAAGGGATTTTGTGAGATTCTCGTCAGCCGTGTCTGTTGCCCGGAGCCAAGGAAGCAAACCCCTGGCCAGCTTTCCCTTCTTTCCCACCTTTTCCCATGCTCGAGCCTCTCCCAAGGGACCTTTGCCAACACTTTCTCTGGATCTTGCTGTCTCCCCTTTGTGATTCCAACGCCAGAGGAAAACAGCAACTTTGCAGGAAGCTTTCAGGCTGTCTTAGGATCACGCCTCCCTTAATTCCACAGCGGCTCCTTAGGATTCTGTGAGCGAACCACTGGGTTTCCACAAGTCACATGCCTCCACTTTTCCCTCTTTTTCCCCCCGCCCTGTTTTTTTTTACGCCCACCGCTTTGCAAAAAGTGCGAGAGAGGTGTTTGGAGCGAGCTTCCCTCCCCCCCCCCAACCCCGTCCGAGGCCTGGGGCCAAATTGCCTTTGTCTGTGAGTATTCTTTGTTCTTTAAGGGCCTCCTTTGATCGCCGTGAGCCCCGTGTGTGGTATCCGAGAGCACGGACCGTGCCCGGTGCTGCCCGTGCATGTTCGGGCGTGTTGTGCTGACCCAGGCTGGGATCTCACCCAAGCAGCAGGTTTTAGTCGGGAGATTTTTGGGATGGGAGCCGCGGGACCGCGGGCCTGGCACCTCCTCCCTGCACAGGGAAGGGGAAACCAGCAGGGCCCGATGGCGGAGGGGGGGTTTGCTTTGCTGGCAGTTTGTCCCCCAACCCTCTTCTCCTGCTCTGGCATCACCAGTTCCCCCTCCCCAAAATCCCTGTGGACCCTGTGCTTTGTGGATTGGGGGATCCAGAGCCACCCCTCCATCCCTGGGGCTTGTGGGGCTGCAGCTTCCCAGTGTCCTGGCCCCGCAGAAGGTGGCCAAGGGCTGGATGTTCCCCTCCCTGTCCCAGGAGCCGTGTGGCAGCTGGCACAATGTGAATGCCACACTTCCAGGTCCCGTCTTCCCTTTAAACCAGTTCCTGAGGGGGTGAGGAGCAGCGATGGGGCTCTGGGTGCTAATTACCCCCTCAGTTGATGACCCCTGTCCGTGCTGGCATCCCGATGGGAACGCAGAGCTTTCCTTGCCCCTGCACCGAGATCCTCCCTCCCCTCTTTTGGGGAAGAGCGTGATGACAACCTCGGAGCAGAATTCCCTGCCCTGAATCCCCCATCATGGCAAACCAAAAAACAACCCCCTAAATTCCCCTTTTCCTCCTCCCTTTCCAACCCTTAGCCTAGCCCTTCAGAGCTGTGCACGTCCCAAGACCCCTCATTTCAGAGCTCCCACCTGTCCCTTCCCCTCCCCGGCTGCCACCTGGAGCTTGGACAACCGGGATTCTGGGAAGCCCACCGGCCTTGGGGGAGCCCCCAATCCAGGGAAGCCCCCACGTCCCCACAGCCTGGGTTTTTTTGCATGTTCTAGCAAGGTGCATGTCCAAGGAGGGGAGTCGGCAACGGGGCGGGTGGTGGGTTGAGTTCAGGCTTAATTTTACTTTTGGGATTGGGAGAACCTCTCTGGCTGCCTCGGGCACAGATTCCCACCTGGCCAGGTGAGCTGGGCTGGGATGCAGATCCCACCAACCTCGGCCAGGGAGGACCTGAAGCCCCACAGGGGGTGCAGTGATGGTGATTTTGGGGTTCTCGCTGCTGAAGGATCATGCGCCCGTTGCCTGGAGACTGCCTCCTTTTTAATTTCTATTTTTATTTCTTGCTTTTATTTTATTTTATTTTTTTTTTAGTTCTGTTTAAAGGAGAAAAAAAATGGTGAAAATGTTATTTATTGGCAGAAATTATTTAATATAATTTTTTTTTTTTTGTGAAACAAGGAATGAATTTGTTAGAACTGTCTCGATGTAAATCGGAGTCATCTTTAAGGAGGAAAAAAAAAAGAAAAAAAAAGATAAAAATTGACACAGTCACTGGGCTCCACTGTGGGTTTTTTTTGGGGGGGGGGGGGGTTTCTCCTGGGGGGTGCTGAGCACCCCGTGGGTGCTTCCAGGAGGAAGCATTTGGGGGCTTTTCCAGCCTCTGCGGGGTTGGGGCAGTGCCCAGACGGCGTCTCCCAGCCTCTGGCACGTCGGCATACGCGGAGTGGCGGCTCCAGGGTGGGTTTGGAGAGCTCTCAGCTCCAGCTCCTCGTCCTTCCCTGGGTAAATAACCCTCCTGCCACTGCCAGGAGGAAGAGGAGGGCATGTGCCAGCTCTTGTTTCACACCAGGCTCCTTCCTCCTCGCTTTGGGGAGGTGCTCCCTCCACACCCAGGGATTTCAGGGAGCAGCCCTGGGCTCTGGGATCCATCCGGATGGGTCAGGGCTCCCACACCGGGCTGGCCCCTGCCTGGGCATCCCCATCGTGTGCCCAGGGCAGGAGGTGGCTCCTGGGGCCATCCCAGCTCCCTCCCTGGCTGGGAAGCTGATGTGGCTCCCGGCTGTGGCTGCCACACGTGGGATCCATCCCTCTCCCACGATAATCAGGACCAGCTGTGGAGGACTCCAGTGCATCACACCAACCACCACAGCTCGTTTTCCCGGCGGGAATTCAGCCTCGAGCCCGGCTCGCCACGTGCTCCCAATTCCCCACCTGTTCTCCTGACGGCATTCCCGCTCCCCAGCCTCCGGATGCATCCAGGGCGTGACCGGGAGAGGATGCTCCGGCTCTCCCACCCTTTTCCTGGGTGTTCCCACCGAACCTGGGGGGCCCACCGGCACCCTGCCCCACACCCGGCATCGCCCCCAGACCGCGGGCTCGGCACCGGGGGGGGCTCCGGCCGCCGCCCAGCCCATCCCTGAGCACGGGGAGCATCCCCGGGAGCATCCCCCGGGCCGGCCGAGCGCTCCCGGCTGGCATCGCCGCGCTGAGCAAACAGGAAACACTCGCCCTTTGTTAATCCCGGCCCGGGCCGCGCGTTAAATATTTATCTGCGAGCGGAGGCTGGTGCTGGAGCCGCGGGGAGGGAGGGACCGAGGCAGCGCCGGCGCTGGAGGCTCCTCGCCGGGCACGGGGACGAGGAGGTGAGCCGGGGCTCGGACGGGGGTGGTGGGCACCCCAGGGTGGGCTGCGGCGGCCGGGGGGCCGCTCCCATCGCCAGCGGGTGCTGTGACCTCCGGAGATGTCACTTGATGGGGCTGGAGGGGACCTGGAGGTGACGTGGGGGGGGATGGTGACCCCCTCGGCAGCAGCGATGGGCTCTGGGATCCCCTCGCGGGGTTTAACCCTCCCCGTGGGTGCCCCTGGCTTCGCCCCAGCCCTGCTGCCCTCCCTGCCCTTGTCACCCCGAGTTTTTCCAGCGGGATCAGCCCCTGTCCCCAACCTGCGTCCTCCCCGCGGTGTCCCCAGCTGGCACCAGGGAGCTGCCCCGATGCCATGGCATTGCGGTGGGAGCTGTGCCCCCCAGGGCTGTGGCGGTGGGGAGGACATTCACCCCTGTCCCGTGTCCCCTGTGTCCCTGCTGTCCCCCGTGTCCCCTGGGAGCAGCATCGCAGCCAGGCAAGGCTCCTGCCATCGTCCCCCTCACTCCCAGCGGCAGGGGACGGGTGGTTTGGTGGGGACCGAGGGGTGGCAGCGAAGCCACCATCCCCCCGGGAGCTCACGTGGGACCTCACGGGACAGAGGAAGGGCCGGGGCGGCCCCATTTCGGGGGTGTCAGCAGTTCTGGGGGAGCAGGAAGTGGCCAGAGGGTGAGTGGTGGGTGCGGGCGCCGCCGGAGGGGGTGAGTGGGGTGTGGGACACCCACAGAGCAGGGCACGGGGGTGTTACACGGGGCTCCCCAGATTCCTCAGGGGTGGAGGAACACCCGTGGGAAAAGCGGAGGCAGTGGGCATGGGGGTTCTGTTCCCACCATATCCCCCATCCCGGGGACTGGGGGAAGCCACAGGAGCACAGACCCCACTCCTCACCTCTGTCCTGACCTCCAGCCAGCACTTCCCTCCCCGTCCTCTCCCAAAACTCCCCCCCAGATCTCAGAGGGTGACTGGGGATACAGGGCACCCACAGAGCAGGGCATGGGAGTGCTACATGGGGGTCCCCAGTGCCCAGAGCCATCTGGAGGGGATGGTCACCCAGGGGGTGACAATGGGGATGGGGGCTCTGCTCTC